CCACACCCACACCCACACACCACACACACCCACACCCACACCCACACGGGGTGCATGTGAGAACTGAAGCTAATATTGTTAGAATAGATATATTATAACTTACACTCGTCAATTCAGTCAATTGGAACTTTTTATATCTACGTCTGGTTCAGAATCAAATGGGTGAAATTCTAGGAGATGTTTTGACAAAAGTACAATGGACTTTCGCCAATTGGCGAATGTCCTAATGACAAAAGTCTTATTGGCGAAATTCCGAAACCCTATATTGGCACTAAATATAAGGCTTCAGTGTGGATTGAACTGCACTTTTCCATACAGATAGTTTGAGAGACGTTATATCTTCATAAAAGTTGCGCCTAATATAAGTGAGCAATTTAACACCATCCTCATTTTTTGATATCAATAAATAGCCTTTTCTTTTGAAAACAAGCAAAATTCTTAGCGCGGAAATGTGATAAGTCACATTTTCATTGATACAACAATAGAGAGAAAAGTATGAATATTATAAAATAGAATTTACGGTTTTGCGCTTGACAGCCGTTTTCTTACACGCTCTACATATATCTTCAATTCATTTTTATACACTTGTTTTGGTAATACAAATATGAAGAGATTAACTGTAAGTGGTAATGTCGAAATAAGATAACTAGCCAAATATAAATGTTTTTGCCATTCAAATCGAATACATGCGAATGCGAATGTTAAAATAAGACGTGGCAATTCTAACAAAATTATTACAAATGGACTGATTATATATGATCTGTATAAGAGTATTTGTTCTCTTAAAATTGAATAATATGTTGCATTCTCGCTCTTAAGACATAAATTAAACTTCTGATGTACGACGATAATTAATAATGCGACGATTGAAATTAAATTGATTAGAAATGGACCAAATAAAAACAGAATATTTGTAATAATCTCATATTTTTCCAACCAATAGTGATTAAATCTGGTTACACACCAAGAATGACTAATTAGTCGGGGGTCATCAATTAAATATCGATGAAACGGTTCATGTAATGAGAATAAAATGTTAACTAGTAAAACACATGGAACTATAACTTTTGAAAACTTTCGACTTAATTGTTTATCAAATTTTAAACCTTTAACAACAATCGCTACACGTTCAAGAGCAACGCAACCACTTAGCCAATCAACCGTTGATGGAATAATGCTTAGTAAAAACTCAAGTATCTGACAACTGTTATATGTTATGTGGTTGAATAATAAAACAAAGAATTTACACGTAACAATAATAAGACCAAATTGACTAAATATACATAACCAAAGTATATAAATTCCACTACCCATTTCACGTGTTTTTGGACAAATAGAAAATGTTAATATTGATAATGTATTGCTGAAAAGTCCCAAAGTAAACATCATAATTATACATATAAACGTTATTTTAGTTAAAAGTGATTGCTCATAAAATGTTTTATTAATGAGAAGATCTGATCCTAACAGAGCATCCAATGAAATTGAATACTGTAATGTTGTAAACTGGCATAAATCTCCATAGTAACATTTTGGACAAACACAAGCAAAATCGTTCAAACTTGACATTGATTGAAAGCAAGATGCGCCATTTTGACAATAATCTTTATTAGTGCAGTTACTTGATTGATGATCAAATACTAAGCAATCGATAAATCCTTCATTATCACATAAACACATATAATTTTCATCATAAAAACATTTCGTACCAAGTGTAAAACATGCTCTTTGGTAATATTTAACACGTTTTAAATACGTATATGACATAATTTCTGAACTTAATAATCGATCAACATATGGACAACAATTTGAAATTAAAATATTCGTTGTAACTCGTCGAACAGACATTTTTGAAAGGCTAACTAAATAATATGAACCATAGACATTATTTGTATCAAAAATTGTTTGAACATAAACAAATGTTGGTAAGAGTGATGGGTTTTTATAAATTATATTAATGTTTGTGTTAAATTTCGTGTTCTTATACAATAGACGATCTTTTATCACAGTTATTGTGCTATTTTTCTGTATATCAACAAAATGGACGAGAATAACAGATATACTGGTAAACCAAGGATCTTGATGTAAATCCTTTATCCCAATTTCTATTTGGCTATAAGGATATTGACACTGATTACCATAGTACTTTTCTGTACAGATACATGCATAATGAATTTGTTTTATATTCAATGGAATGCATGTACCATTATTTAAACATTTTACACGACGACATAAATCTATTTTTACATTACACTCATTTCCAAATGTTCCAAGAGGGCATATACATTGTCCTTCAAATGATAAGGAAGTTAAATTACATGTTGTTTTATTATTATGATTAATATTTTTTCTATGGGCCGGATGTGAATAATTCAAAGAAAGATTATCTAATTTTAATTGAACAGCTAAATGATCGACAGGTAGAAACGAAAATTTCAAATCAAAGTACCATGTTGAGTGATATTTAACATTTTCAATTGATACAGAAAAAACATCTATACGAACAAAGTATTTAAGAGATACGTTACCAAATGAATTATGAGGGTAGACTAAATAAATAATATTTTTAATTGTATTTTGTTTAGATGGAACATGTATGATATCTTGTGAATCTAAAACTAAACTTGTTTCATCAAATAATCGAACTAATAATTGAAATATAATATTTTCACTGTATTTTCCAATAATTTTTATAAGGACTGTTACACGTTTATTCTGAAATTCACACTTGTCACCGTAATAATATGGTGGACAAAGGCACATAATAACTTTAGAATTACCTTTAACTTTCAATGAACGTACACCTATTCCACGGTTACAGTATTTTCCGTAATCATTGTTAACTTGTACACTTCGAGTTGGATGTATACCAGAAGGTGTCATAAAAAGTGGCAAGTAAGGGTTTTGAATATCTAAGCTGGTTATCGATTGCAAATAGTCTTGGAATGATGGCGGAGGATATTGGTTATGTTCTGTAAATATAAACGGTTTATATTTAGCATATTGCGGAATTAAATCGCAAAATAGTTCATCATTTTCAGCTGCAACTCGGCAATCATTTTCACCATTACATCGTGCACTTTTTGGCAAACATTGTTGCCGTACCGCTCCAAAACAATCAAATTTGCCCTTACGACATGTTGAAAATTGTCTTCCTGGGCATGCAGCTTCATCATCTCCATAAGGACAATCGATAATTCCATCACAAGTATCATGTATATGAATACATAATGAACTATTCCAACAGAGAAAACGACGTGTTAATTCGAACGGATATTTTAATGGGCAATAATCGAACCGTTCATCAGTAGATCCTAAGCAATCAATTATTCCATCACCAAATTGTTCAATTGGTAATACTATATTGTTCCCTTTTTCTGGCAAGCGACAGTAATGAACTTGTTCTCTTAAACGACAATTTTGAACTTCGATTGATCCAATTTCATCTCGTCCATTAATACAATTCCAATTTCGATCACATGACACATATTTCAAGCGACACGAACGTCTCCAATCATAACAATCTGTTTCATCTGTATCGTTTCCAAAAATTAATTGAGAATGAACAATACCATTGCATAATTCATTAAATAAATAAAATGTATAAGGTGGAATAAAACCCCGTAAATATTGGCAACCAAGATCATTTTGTTCTCGACAAATAAACGGCATCATTTCGTCCGACATGTCCGTACAATCATTAATACCGTCAAATAACCAAGTGCGAGGAATATATTCATTACTATTAAATGTTAAGCATTTGAAATAATTATTCTTATTTCTTATTCGTGCCGGAATATCAAGTTCATCTTCTCCATTATAACAATCGTTCGTTCCATCTCGAATACGATGAATTGAAATCAAACGCAATGTTGATTCACATTGATACAAAGTTTTATTCGATATTTCTAATTTCGGTAAGATACACATGGAAAATATTTTTTGAAGATTTTGAAAAAATGATCCAAAAGTTTCAAACTCTAATTCACCGAAGCTGTTCGTATAACCGCAAGTGAAATTACCAAAAAAATCTGTTGAAATATATTCTTTACAAATATTTTCATCATAACATACGAATTCCGGGAAAATGCTAGATATGTTCGATGCATTATACATAAAACGAACCGATGGAAACATTACAACTTTTGAAGGAAATTCAAAGAGTGTACAATTTTTGCATTTTGATTCTATAGCTTTACATCTTTTATCTGTTAGTTTATATTGTTTTCTCAGATAAATAAAAAATTGATCACCTGTTTTATAACAAAGTTTACATTCTTCACATAAGAACAGAGAATTTTGAATAAATGTCGATTCTAATTCACGTATATCACGTTGATTTGAACAAGGTTTATTAATATTATCAATATAATTTGAACGACATGTTCCATCACCGCATGTATATAGATTCGGTTCATGGCAATAATATTCTTCACAATCAATCGACGGTCGATTAACACAAATGAACCATCGATTGTTAAAATAGTCTTGTATAAATTCATTTGTCTCATCACTTTTATCGATACAATCGATCATTTGATCAAAAGCAAAATCTTTTGGTATACATATTCCATTTTTACATCGAAATTCTGTTTCTAAATTGCATTCATTCGATTCTAAAATAATACATTGTTCTCCTTCATCTTCACCATTGAGACAATCGACAATTCCATTACAAATTTCTCGCCAGTCTAAACATTTATGTCCGTTATCACATCTTATGTAACATATTAGATTAGAAATTGTTTTTTGTTCAAACTGTTTTTCAATAATTTCAGAAAATGTTGTTAATTTGTCAAATGTATATTCACAATACGATCCAAAATAACTTGTACCTTTACATGAGCAATATTTCTCATTAACAATTTCTGAATCAAGATACTTTTGAAAGGAAGCGATTGTATCAATAGGTGCATTCCAGGAGAATAAATCATTAATTGTGAAATTATTTTTGTTTAATTCTTCATATGTAAGCTCAATTCCATAACATTGATTAACGGGTAGCAATACTGTGTCTGTTGTTACTGCATCTCGAATACAATAGGGCACCAATGACCAAGCATTAACTTGAAACTGTCGATCATTTCTAATTTGTCTGTAATCATATAGACAATCGTAATATGGGTATTGTTTTTGCCGATAATCAGTATGATGTAAATGAAAATAACATTCTGTTGTTAATGGTAATAGGAAAATTATAATAAGAGTTAATGACATTCTAGAGTAATAGTAAAAAAAAATACAATAGTGGTCAAAATTTTCCATGAAATGTATCAACTACATATTTAATGAATGTCTCTCGATGATGAAGAATTATCTCAAGTTTCATTCATTTCAAAATAAAAATCTATTGATCTAGCTCAATTTTGTACGCTGTTTTCAATTATATACCCCAAAAGAAATTGTTAAGAGGCCCCGCTCAGAAAATCCAATTTTTCAGAGACGAGCGAGATTGAAGTTTTATCATAGGAAAATGCACTGAAGTCTGCTCTTTCAGAATATCTATGGTTTATCGCAAAATGAATTGATTTTGACGAACTTATCGTCTAAAACTTGGCCAAGGCTCTCGATTGTTTTCAGGACTGGGGTGGGCTAAAACAATTTGGCAGACAGTATCCACAAATTGTCGCAGACATACGTTTTGACCGAAAATTTAATTTGTAGGTTTTTTTGGGGTTGAGGATAAAAACTTCCTGGCATATGTGTGGAAATATTTTTCCATGAATCTGTTTTTTTGTGACGTTTTGAAAATTCAGCAGATCGAAAATTGTTTTTGCATTAACAAGAATATACACTCCTGTGGCGGCAAAATGACTGTATTAGAATATAAATTCAGTATCTGTAGGATACAGAAGAACATCAATAGAATGCCGCTTAAGGCGGCAACTTTTTGCAATGGAATAACAAGGATTTGGTTCAAAAATGATAATTCAATCAAATGAGAACTATTCTAGTCTAGGAAAAACCAGAATAATTTGTTTACTTTATATTCCGCCGCCGAAGGCGGCTACGCTTTCTGCGCTTAGATATACTAAGCCTACGACTTTTGACTCTATGTGGATCGCTAACAAACTCTTCACCGATCAATTTTATAGCATCCTTTCCTACATTTGACAGACATCCGAGACTATCACTCAGATTCGGCTGAAACTCAGACTGTCTGCGATATTGGCAGACACCTCAGACTGTCTGTCAGGTTCGGTAGATGGCACAGAGTGTCCGCAAGATTCGGCAGCCACCTCAGATTGTCTGCCACAAACCTAAGCGCAGCAGAAAATTTCCAGACATATAGTGAGAAAATTTTCGCAGACACACTGAAAAAGTGGGGGGCTAGCCCATCCCATCCCCTCCCACATCGACAGCCTTGAACTTGGCTTCTACTACCATATTTTTCGAATAATTTTTATGGTCTTTTTTCAAGATTTTTTGACTTTTTGAGGCTCCTTTCTCTTTGCATCAGCATTTCGTAAAGCCTTTTTTTATACTAATCACTATGAGACTATTAAAATTTAATATTAAGATCACATATTTGTAGCCGGTTTTGAACAGTGATAAATAAATCAGGCGATTTTCGGAAAAATTGATTTCTAATACTTATTTTTCGTTTTTCTCAAAATCAGTTTTTTCGTCATGCAGTTTTCGCGGGCAGGTTTTCTCCATAACGACTCGACATGGAAGTGCTAATTTTTTATTATTATATAGGAGACATGTAGGACTAGGACTTAACAGGCTCCGATTTTTAAATTTGTCTTTTGCTGAACTAAAATACTTGTATATTTCATTTCTATTAGCACTTCGAATTCGAATATTTTTCGAAAAACGTCTTTTAAAAATCAAATAAAGGAAAATTCAAAAATCGGAGCCTGTTAAGTTCTAGCCCTAAGGGTACTCTACAACCTGAAAACTGCCTGGGCTTGATAGCTCGTATCCTTATTGCGAAATCCTTGCCCGCGTAAAGAGTAATGAATTGACTAGAACTTGTGCATTTCTTTGAGATTTGGAGGAGATATTTTAACCATAAGCTATTCTAGTCAAGAGTAACATTCTCTGAAATTTTGGTTGAAATCAGATGAAAAAATAGCAAAGTTCGTTTCTGAGGGGGCCCCTTAATGTGTCAAGACTGACATACATCACACAACCAAATCAATCGCAAAAAGCAGTCTATGGTTTTTTTCCCTCGGATCATATCTCAAAAGTTCAATAAGTTAGACTGTGTTGATTGTACCATACAGCGACGCATAATTTCTATTATATGTCCAGATACAATTGAGAAAAATTGACGTTGTCTAGCTTGTTTAGTTCTTGAGATATGATTCGAAGAAAAAAACTATCCACTACTTTTGCGAATTGATTTAGTTCTCTAATGGATGTCAGTCTTGACATGTTGACAATTTCTTCTGATGTATAGCATTGAAAACAGTGCACAAAATTGATCTGGATCAGTAAATTTTTTATTGTGGAACGAAGAAAACTTGAGAAACCCATGGAGTAAAATATTGAAGGAAACGGACTGCGTAACGCGTTTCCGAGGTTGTAGCATGCGTTTCGCAACGTTTTTGCAATATAGGACGCGTTTCGCAGCATTCATACTTACATAAAATGCGTTTTGCCACAGTCGTTTTTTGAAACGATCTGAGACGCTTTTTTCAAGATTGCGTTTCGAGGCGTTTTCGAATTAAAATGCTGTCGAACGCACTTTGGTCGACAGGCGACGCGTTCCACAGATACAAATTGGGTGAAACGTAAAACGCGTTTCTTTTTCAAATGTGTGTTGCATTGTTTTTGCTTAGAATGATGCAAAATATATTCATTCTGCATACAGAATCTGGCAAAAATTCAGCAACACAAAGCATAGGAGTTAAGCAAAGTAAATTCTTTAAAATTACTTTGGAAATGATATAAAATAGCACTTGAAAGTTTTGCTCCTTGCACTATTTTTGTACTTGAAAATCCTGACCCAGGATTTTATGAAGGCAAGACTAAAATCAAAGTCTTGGAAATTTTTAGGCTGCTAGGCTGTTATCTAGACCTAATTCGAAGTTAGACTAATGTAAAACATCAAAGTGTAACAAAAAATATATTCTTCTTACTTAAAAACTCATTTCACCACGTTTTTATTGAAAGAAAACGTGTTTCGTAAGGTTTACTTAAGAATTGTTTTCGACTTGTCCACGGAGGAAGATGATTCCGTCACGCTCGTTTGTAATGAATGAGAAGTTACAGACAAATTTGCAGTGTCTCACTTTGACAAGCACAATTTTTTGTCCAAGATTGCAAATGCATTGGATTCTAGAGATCGAGTCATTTGTATGAAATAAAACAAATAAAGCGTGACGGAATCACGTTTTACGTGGACAGGTCGTTTTAAATATTGAGCATTCCGAAGAGATTTAGTAAAGACTGATACTAATATAATTAGTATAGTAACTCTCTTTGGTTATTTGTGAACAAAAGAATTATCGTGTTATCTATAATTTGAATAAATATTAGTTTGAGTTCATACTCGAACTAATTGATAATAACTAATGATACTGTGTACAATACTAGTAAACATGATTTTAGTTTGTACATTGTTGAAGTAAGAGTGACTTTTTAATAAAAGAGATTCGATTTACAAAAGAAAACTCCTTTCATTTATTGATGTAATTGAGTAAAACGATGACGGATTTACATTTACAAAAATGTATTAATCAAGAAAATAAATAAAAAATTAAATTTGAAATTTTTTAAAATTTATATATAAGAAATTTAATTTTTTATATATTAAATACAGTGTAAATCGATTAAATTCGTTTCTATTGTGTATCTAAATTTGAGTCTGAAAGAGTTTAAATAAAAAATGTATCAAGAAAAGACCACACTCGTAATTGGACATAGGCACCAAAGAAATGATAATTTTTAATTCAGTGGAATGTAAACTGAAAATCTAATTTAGTAAGTTTACGCGAGACTCTAAATGACAGTAGAATAAACACTTATATCATTAGATTATTTTAGTTGAACGGTTTGTATACATGTCTTATACTCCTATGTTCTCATGTTCGAATCCGTGTCTTGACTACATCAAAATTCATGTAAGTTATAGTTCTAAAGGTCTATGAAAAAATGTAAGCGAATACATAAATTGTACCTGCAATTCAAGATCTATGAAGTCATTGACGATTTTCAATTTTTTTTCCATCTAGAATTTACGACACCACAGTTTGAGAATCGCGGCGAAATTTTTCACAAAACCAATGGTTACACAGCGTTTGTTTTAGCAGATGTGAAACGCGTCAAACCGGTCAGCATTAACGCGTTTCGCAGCTATGGAAAAATGCGTTTTCAGAACGCGTTTTTTTCGCAGAAATTTACATCATGGGTTGTACATGATCTAAAAAAAGGATGATAATGAAATTATTATTTACCTTATTCTACATAGGATGTTCTATAAGTCATTAGCCAAAGAAAGGTGTGAATATCTCTACCTTATTTTGACCGAATGGGCTGATATTTTTATCCTTGATGAAGAAGTATTCATAGCTCATATTCATAAAAGAAACGTTGTCCAAAAATTATTTTAAAGTATTTACAACTGTCTTTAACAAAGAACTATAAACTTTCGCGAGCTATGCAAAAAAAACAATAGATTTATTCCCTTAGCTGATAATAAGCGATATATAATTTTTTCGATTAATTCTCCATACTAGTGTCGTTTGATCTCCTATTTATACTACAGATGTATGTCTTGTTACTCAGTATATCCTGAAAGTTTCAGTTATAAAAAGCAAGATTTTTATGATAAAACTGCAATATTCATTTTTCATAATCCTGAAAGGTTACACTGCTTTGTTAAAGTTAGTTATATATAGTTTAAAATACTTTTTTTTGTCAACGTTTCTTTTATGAATATGAGCACAGATATCTGTTTACAATTCTAAGGAAGTTTCGGGACAATCTGTATATTTTAATTTCATAGCCTATCAACTCACCCATGGAAAAATTGGTTGAGTTGGGTTGATCCATGGATTGAAAAAAATGGGATTTCCGGCATCTCTGTCATCTTCGTACTCATACAAAATTAAATAAGAAAGTTCAATAAATAGTTGATCGAAATTTTGTTGAAAACTGATCTTTACATCATTCTTACAAGTATTTATTTGAATAATATTTTTCTTCTTATCAGATTCTTTCATCTATTCGGAGTTTTACATTTCCTATATAAGAAATTTTTCATG